ACAGGCTACAGCTGACCCAAAGAATATAACGAAACAAAGAAAAGGGTGAGGACCTGCGCTTTCATGGGTGAACCATATCCTTGGTGCAGAGACCATCGTTGAAACCACCACTGGGAGTTGCCATTTGCCTCTAGAAATGTAATGCTTGTCTACTAGAGGTGTTATGGTACAGGTGCTTTGAGGCCCTAAACAGGAGGAATTCACCTGTATCATAACACCTCACTGTACAGAACACAATGAAAGGCCATCACAAATCAAAAGTCTTTCAAATGTCTAACACATGGAATCAGGACTCTACTGATGGGCTCCAGCAAAACTAATTCCGTAGACTGTGATGTGGACGATCGATATTCTTTGCTCTTCTAGATAGCAGCTGCTATGGAAAATGCAGAAATGTGTGATTGGTTTGGAGCTGAAGATTATCGACATTAAAATAAAACCACACAGCATAATGTTGGCATTTAGTGTCGCTGACTTGGCACATTGCACGCTCTGCAGTTTGCTCAGAGGTGAGTTACGTCATTGTCCAACTTCAAACACATGGCAGAGAGTTGGTAAAGGAACATTCTTTTCCAGGCAGTTTAATTTGTTGAGTTTAATAAAGCAGCATGACTAAGTTTTAATAACCATTTTATTCCAAATAAGTGTGTATACTACTCACTAAATAACTGACTAATCACAGTGCAGACATTTCACTTTTCAGTCCACACTGTACAAGATGTCAAACGATCTCTAAGGGGCTTATTAATTAAAGCTGGGACACATTGGAATAATGCGTATGTGCTCTTCATTGGGTTTCATCAGCTCTTACTCCCTTTATATTGTGTTCTGCAGATCACCAGCATGGAAACTCACTCTCTCATACACAAAATACAACTGAGAGCAACTGTGAGACAAAACAGCAAGTCCTCCAACAGCTCTAATAAACTCATTAATTACCCTTCTGGTTTTCCTCCATTAAAAACATGAATTTGTTGTTGCACTTATTTAAGTAACATGAAGATGTCGGGGGTTTCCACAGTGTGACTGCAGCTCCACCTGTTCACTCACACTCCTGGTCCAAGAGGAAGACAACACTCACTGAACTCACACTGGAAAGGCGCCACGGTCACACTCAGAGGCGACAGCTAAAGTTCTCAATAACAAGGTCCCTGTGGAAAGTTTAAACAGACAATATATATTTTTCTAAATAAAATCCCCAAAACTAAATTATTGAGATGTCATTAACCATCAAAGAATCCTCACACGGCTTCATGCAGATCTTTAGTCCATGTTAGGTCTATGTGCTGGATTTACGGTCAATATTTGGTTCACAGCTACTTTTGCTCCTGCCCCTATGTGGCCAAGAATATTCTAACCATTTTCTTTCATATTCTTATTTCAACAATGGGTCTATGAATATGCATTGATGATGGTGTCATTTAAAATAATGAACAGATGAAGGATTATGACCCCACTGTTACTTTAAGCTCTAAAGAGCATTTCAGCTCATTGTTTTGGTTTCATGATGCATGATCCTCGTGTTGACCGTAATCTGTGCTAATAGCAAACGTCCGGTTTCTTGCAGAAACAAGAGCAGACTTTTTCCTGTGTTAACCATACTATAGATGGCTTCAGTGTTCATGCTCTTATGCAGTGACAGTTGACTCTTATGTTTCCTGTTTACCCAACTGTGTAAAGGTCATCTTATTTCACTATTTGAGTTTCCACTCTCAGTATGAATATATATTATACATATATCACTATCCTGTTTATCTTTACTTTTGTGGTATTTTTTAAGACTGACTGAAATGTATGATCCTTGAATTGATGATTATTTCATTGACAGGCTCTTACACATTGCACTTATATCAACAGGTGAACCTTGAAGAGGAAATAAGAGAAAAACTAAAGCACAGAGAGATATCAGACATTGTAGATCACAGATTAAGTGTGAAACTACACCAGGTGACAGACGTCTTTATGCTCCTGGGTATTAAGTGAATGTTGTGGATTCCAAATTGGCCCATTCCCTGATTAGTAGAGGGAAAAAACAGTCACCCAGTGCCGGGCTAAAATTAGAAGTGATGTCTTCTTGTGTAACAGGAGAGACGTTGGCCTGCTAACATCAGAAAAATCTAAGGCCTGGCACATTCCTCTGTATAAATAACTGGGGAGAGTTGGTGGACGAGGGGGGGGGGGGCGGTGCAGAGAGACATTTTCAAAGAGGAAGAGAGGGAGGTAGAGAGAGAGAGAGACAGAAAGGGTTGCTGCATTATCATTGAGTGATGGGACAGCTGTAGACTACGCACATGGCACAGCGGCAGAGAGCTGAATCAAACTGAAGGTTAAAATGGAGAGTCAGAGGAAAGCTGCTGCTTGTGTGAAGATCTGAGTCGTGCTGAAGTACGACTGTGACTACTACTGAGGGCCTGCCACTGTTGCATTTACATTACTAACACTGTCAGCCTCATTTTGATTCTAACACAAACACATCCAGGACCACAGGACGAGTTTGATCATCAGTGACAGTAAATGCTTGTAATGCTCTGTTAGCTGAAAGTCTGATAATGGATTGGCTGATTTTACTTGAAACAGAACCACACAAACTATTGTCTACCTATGAAACCACTGTTTTGTGTTGTCTACACTTATCTGTGTTGTTGCCAGTCCCGCTACTCTACCGTATCTGAGAAGCACTTGTAAGGAACTTCCCATGGCATATTATTATTAAGGTGTTGACACAGTGATAGAACTGTGAGAACTAGAAGAGATGCAATAAATGTGTGAAATCCTGAAGGAGTCTGTTTGAAGGGCTGTGTCCAAAATCATTCACTAATCACTACATAGTCCACTACACAGTGAGTTCACAGTTCCGTAGTGCTGTCACAATGTTTAGTGAAAGGGAGAAAAATGGCAGAGATACGAGAGGAGAGAGAACAGGACGTCTCAGCCCTCAGCCTTCTCTCTATTGTGATTCTACAGTTTCTTATCATCAAAAAACATCAGAATTACAGAGAGAAGTAGAAGCAGAAGTTTCCGATTGATAAAAATAAAATTTCCGATGACGTGCTTTGTTGTTTTAGAGACAAAGATTATTTGTTTTATTATTATTATTATTATAATTATTACATTTATTTCTACATGTAAACATGGTAATTCAACGAGTTCTTTACTTAAATTATTGATTCTCAATGTAAAATAAACATTTAAAATTTATTTGAAGTCCACAAATAGTGAGTCGGGGGGTGATTTTGAAGACAGCCTTAGTCTATATTTTACCTGGACTTTGTCCAAGTGTCCTACACATACACAGTGAAGCAGATATTGTTGCTGCTCACACTAAAACGAGAAAAGAATCTGCATCATCACATCATCCAGTCCACATCACCTCTCTATTTTATTTCTTATTTATTTTTGTCCCAGGCTCGCACAAACCATTTTGTCGCAGCTTGAAATCAGCAGACATTGTTATGTACCCTACAAGTTCTATTTTACATAGCATCAGACCATGCTGTGGCTTGCCAGAGCTTCACTTTTGTTAAAACGATGGACCTGTGGTCTGCGGCCCTGACCCCTCCATGCATGCAAATGCCTGCCACGTACACTCAGCATGAGAGAGCAGATCTAAATTGAAGAGCGAGTGAGTTTCCACTATTGCACTGAGCCCTGCAGAACAATGACAAAGTGCCAAAGCTGATATATATATGAAGGGTGTATTTGTGTAATATCATCTTTCAAATTGCCCGAGGTGGTAGAAGCAGGCAGGTGAGCTGGTTTTAGATCAGATGCTGGAGACAACCGAGTTTTGTTGATCAGAATGCAGACTGCTTTTCACAGACTGTGGCCTTCTGTATCCCTGGCAAGACGTTGAGAAATCTGACTGTTGAACACTCTCTGAGCCTTGATTTGAGTCTGTCCAGTGCTGTTTGAATAATGATTCATTTTTGTGACCCTGCATGCCTGGTGGGAATCTAATGGACTGTTACTCTCAAACAGCAAATTTAACATACCACAAGACAACACACACAAAACATTGAGATTTAAAGAGACGTTCAGACTTTCTCAACATGCATCGCAGGAATGGTATTCTGTTGTAAACAAAAATAATATCTATGAGAAAGGTAGACGATACATTCTGTGTTGTAAACAACAATCTTGATGCTTGATTATTTGATAGTGTGTATTCTAGGCCCTGTGTAATTCAGTTCTTTTATTTTATGTCTACTAGAAGCACCCTTGCATGAATAAAAATTAAGGTTTTATGTAATTTGAGTATTGTTTATGACTTGCTGTCACATTTTTCTAATGTAAATTAAGGCTGGGTTATGGTTTCCATAAACTGTGTTTCAATTCAGGGGCTGCATACTTAACTTAAGACACAGACTACCCGGCCCCGAATGAGGCGGATCTTCGTAGGCCACAAAGATCTGCATAGGTTCAGAGGCTTTCCGGGTTCAATAACAACCGCCCGTCCCGCCCTTACTGCTGTTGACAATAGCAACAGAGCTGCAGTTGAATACAACAAAAAAGTTTTAACATCCCTTGTTTTTTTGACGTGTATTTTTAGCTCTTCGATAGAGCTACAGCGTGATACTCAAGCATCGGATGCTGTTACCTCTTTGAAAAAGGATTTCTCTCAGAAGCACAATGAATCCTGGGATATGTCAGGTCAGGAAGGATCCACCTGGTGGAGCCTTTGTTATCGCGTGGATGAAAGGACAAATTTGTCTCATTTAAAGGAGCCTTCGAAACGTAACAACCTGGTTGCTCCACTGTGACGTAATCGTTTTTTAAATGCAGTCTCTGAAGGATGGGGCCCCTGAGTTGAGACAGCTATAGTCATGGTTATGTTGCAAAATACCTAGAGTATAATGTTAACTGTCTTTTAGTTGATACTTGTACTTTTTGATCTAGACCCCACAAGGAAATATGCAAATTCAATCTAGAAAGAGCTGTATCCTCTCTATTAGAGAACTAGTCTAAATGCTAATAAACCTAAAAGTATGAAGAGATGTTACCTTCTCCCAGATCCAACACAGCAAGTACAGCGCTGCTCCGAGCCTCTCCTAGGTGATTGTTGGCAATACAGGTGTAGAGGCCAGCATCGCTTGGTTTGCAATCCCTAATCCAGAGGCCTCCGTACTCCTGGTTCTCCATGTTGAGGAGGTCTTCATTGTGGTACCAGTACAGGGAGGGCTGGGGGTCGCCCGCCACTGTCACCTTTAGACGGATGTCACAGCCCGTCCCCACGGCAGCGTTCCTCATTTTGCGTACAAACACAGGTGGAGTCTGGATGGGGTAACCAGGTCCCCGGGGGTCTGCAACGACTTGCTCCGGGCTCGCTTTGGAACGTTTTGGGGGGATGATGGGGCTTGGGGGCGCCATCGCTTCATCTGCCCCTTTTTTCAGGGTCATTTGCACCTCTGCTTTCCTCATAGTTGAACTGATTCAGCAGACCAATGGTTTCTTGTAATATTCCAAACCAAAGGTCAGTCAGGGCCTCAATGCCTGTCACATATACATTACAGTAAGCATAGTTCTCACATTTAAGATTAACAACTTTTCTTTCTCTAGAAAAAACCAAACAGAATCTTTCAAAGCATATCTTCTCAAACTCCTCTGACCTCGGCTGTCAAAAGAAGAAAAAGAAACTGTTGATCACCAGCTGATTAAGTTGATAGAGAAAGCTGCCACTCTTCTGCCCAGAGGTATTTTTAGGGCAAGACCTACTAGATCATGTTGCATTAACAGCTCCCTTGACTTGTCTCTTGGAAGTGACGGCCCAGCGTTTTCCTTTTCCTAATGTTCTTTGACTTTTCAGCCTCCACGAACCATCTCCCAGTGGTGTGCTACTTCTCTGCAGAACGACGCAAGTCAGTCTTCAGTGAGTTTATTCCTAGCGGCCTTCAGATTTGTTGGCTTCTGATTAATTGCAAGCATCAGGTCCTATCCGGCAAGTTGCACAGTAACCCCCCCTCCTCCTCGTCCCATGAGCTAAGCCACCCCACTCATGATCTCCCCCCCCAACCTCTGCCAGTCAGTCCGAAGAGGGAAATGACAGTCACAGCCAAGCAAGCCTTACAATGACAGCTGCGTGGCGATCTGTCTGCCCACTCACTGCAAGGCTCCCGCCCCCTTGTCATTTTTAGCCAACCTGAGGTCAGTAGACCATGTGAAATGAGAGGAGAGCTGCTGAGTGGGTGGGTTGGGGGTTTAGTGTGGGACAGACAGTAGTTGGCCTCCCAATTCTGTTGAGGTGGTCATGTCTCGTGAAATGTCATGATAGAAAATGATGTCACTGGAAACTGTGGCCGTTCATGAAATCATTGAACGAGGAATAGATGGGTCAGTAGAGGTCTGACTTTCTGTCAGCCTGGCTACAGCTGAAGAGGAACCTGGGGTTGTTCTTATTTTCTTCTATTATTAATGAATTTATTATTCAGGTTCTAGCATTTCTGAGTGCTTTCTTGTAATTCACGAGGCTATCCTTCCAGGCTAGGTGAAAGTCATATTGATTGGTGGAACGCCACTTCCTCTCTAGCTTCCGTGATGTCTGTTTTAAAACACTTTTTTGAGCATTATACCACGGAGCTAATCTCCTCTGATTTACTTTCTTCTTTTTTAGAGGGGCGACACCGTCAAGGGTTGTTTTTAATGAGGCTGCTGTACTATTAACAAAGTTATCAACTAGTGTGGGGGTAAAGTTTTGATAACTTTCCTGTATTGACACATGGCTGTGAGGTAAGTGTAGAAGGAAGCATTTCTTTAAATTTGTTCACAGTTTTATCAGCTTTTTATCGCTTCATTTAAACCTACATATTCACCATCTTGTAGCCAGGTTTTGGTCAGACATAGATCGATTTGATGATCAGTAATCAGATCATTAATAAGTAAGGATTTTGGATTGCGTGACCTGATATTTTAAATAAACATTTTATACTTCTGTTTTTTGCTACTGATATATTGGTTGTGTTAACTTTTATTAGGTTTGCATGTATTTCTCTTAGAAATTAGGTGGTCGGGGAGCAGACACAGCTTCTATGGGATATTGTGAGATATCTTGTGAGGGTGACTGCTCTAATAGAAGTGCAGAGAAGCGTGTAAGCTGTCTTGAATGTTGTTAATGCAGTTATGTCAAATTTAGCTGCAAACTTGTAAGTAGACCTAGCAGTGCTAACCAAACATAGAGAAACTAGTATACAGCCACTATTTATATAAAGCAACAGTGGACATGTGCAAAGTCAACTGTAGTGTCATGATTTTCCAAACACTCCACTTTACATGTACACATGAATACTCAGAAACTGGAGTTTTTGAAAGTCTGCAATTTAGATTTTGGTTTTAGTTACTTAAAACGTTTGAGGAAAATGTTCATTTGTGTGGCCAGGGCATAAGACTGGAGCCCTGTTCAAACCTGGTATTAACACATGAACAGCTCGAAGTGTGAACGTACACTTTGAGATTAGATGACTCAGACATTCTCTCAGCAGTGTGAGCCTACTTTGTGTAGGTTTATCATGCTGATCATTTTGGAAGATGTAGGTTATGGTGCTGTTGAGCTGTACTCAATTTTATGACAGCATTTCTATTATTATATCAACCCCATTTATATCAGAGGTCAGGCTAAATAACAGAGACACCTGTCAGCAGTGGTAACCTTTAGTAGCTGTAGTATTAGCAGAATATACATTATCGTCTATTAATAAACATAAATGTCAATACTTGTATTTAATGTCAACAGAAATAAAACCATAAGAAATTATACAGAGTAAGTGGGAAGTTTAGCTCTATTTAATCCAAGGAAGACCTCAGAAATACAAGATGTTAATAATACACAGAGAGCAGTGTGCATAATTATATGAAACTTTATTGATGAACATGTGTGAATGACAACCTGCTGTTTTCAGTTGATACATACAGGAGTCCTATAAAAAGCAACAGATGACTATAAAAATGTATATGAGGCTATTAAGTACTGTACAAGATAGTTTAATGTTGCTGCAGAGTTATAGCATGACAATGGAGTAGCAGGGCCACTTAAAGGGAAAAAAACTAAAAGTTGTACTTCCATGTTATTTGTAAATATCAGAAGATCAGTTTGTCACCTGCAATCAAATGAAGAATGTGGAGGATTCTGTTGAGTTAAACTTTGAGTTTCGCAAATTACACACTGTCACATCAGCATCACATTGCCATAAGTATAGGGAAGGATTGTGCAAGAAACTGAGTCTATTCTGACATACATCACCACACAGATATTGTCACTCTTGTGGAAGAGGAAATGTTTGGTACTGGTCAACTGCAATCCGTGATCCAGAAGGCAGAAGTGATGGAACTCCTGCCAGCTCATTCAATTACAACTTTTTCCCTCTTTCACTTTTTGAGATATTAACACATTTTTCTTTAAATTCTTTTTCAAAGGATGGTCACATTGGTTTGTAAATTTAAATCACAGAAAATTATCTTGATAACTCACATGCTGCACTTATCATCGTGGAACACTGAGCTGTGAGTGTTATGAACTGAAGGTATTCTGCTTTTCTTCAGAGCTCTCTGTTGCTTCTCTACATGTGTTGTGATATTTAGGTATTGAAATGTATCCGCTTATGAAATTTCCCATTGTTTCCTCAGTATGAAGCTTGACTGAGGGGACTGAATTGGTTAACTTAACCTAGGTTACACAATGGACTGGAACAAACTTAAATAACACAAGAAAAAAGAAGTTCATAGCATGAAAATGTATTTAAACATTTAATGAAATGCTCAAGGTACTTTGGTGACGTTAAAGGGACGGTTCACCCCAAAAATTATCTAGATGACACCACGGAGGCTTGTTGTGTATTTTTTCTGTTGTTTTATAATGTCTGAAGAAGAGGCCGAAAAACTGTTTACCCCTGAAACTGAAAGTGTTTTGTGGACTCAAACACTATACCCGCCCCTCAAAAACCGTCCCTTTCTTGTCCAAAACTTGAATTCCTACATTAAATGGTCTATCTGAATGGTGGAAGGTTGTCACATGATCGTAGATGTGATTTCTGACGACAGTGACGACCTGCTGGTCCTCGTCACTGATGCTCTCTCCAAGACGCCAACCTTTCTCATGAGCTGCAGCAGCCTCGTCCTGAACTTCTCTCCCACAAAGGCGTACAGCAAAGGGTTGACACAGCTGTGAAGCAGGCCGAGACTCTGGGTGGCAAACATGGCCTGATCTACCGCCATCCTCGCTGGGCACTGGTAGGGCACTATCTTTGTCCTGAAAAACGAATCTGCCATCACTGCAATGTGGTACGGCGTCCAGCAAAGCAGAAAGGCGACCACCACGACCACAATCACTCTCATGGCTCGCTGCCGCTGATAGCCCCCACGGACGTGAAGGAGGCGCCGGATGGTGACTCCATAGCAGGGCAGCATGATGGCCAGGGGGATGAAAAAACCTAAAGCATGGCGGAGAATTCTGGTGGCCAGCCGCCAATTGTTGGCGCTCCCTGGATCGTACCGTTCAATGCACACCGTGTGACTGATGTTTTGAGAAGGCAATGAAGAACTGAAGAGGCCTGGCAGAGACAACAAAGCTCCGACAGCCCAGACGGCAGCACAAACTCCCCAGCTGACCCGCTGTCGGTTAGCCTTGCGAGCATCCATGGCGCGCACAATCACCATGTAACGGTCCATGCTGATGCACGTCAGGAAGAGGATGCTGGAGTAGAAGCTAAGCTCTTGGAGGATGGTGACGATTTTGCACATGGCGTCTCCGAACACCCAGCCCCACATGACGGAAACAGCCCAGAATGGGAGAGTGACGGCGAGCAGGAGGTCGGCAACTGCCAGGTGGAGGAGGTAGAGGTCAGAGGGCGGCAGCATCTGCTTGCTGAGGCCAATCACCAGCCCCACGACCAGGTTTCCAGGAATGGCCAGCAGGAAGACAAGGACATAGAATGTACTGACTACAACCATGACTGCATCTGGGAGGGAGAAGGATCCGCAGGGCTGCGTATCAGGGTTTAAGATGAACTCTGAGTCATTGTAGGTGAAGTTTAGTTCGTCGTAGATGGAGTCAAAGTCAAGGGTCAAAGAAGATGTGTTTGGATCTGAGAAGAAAAACAGAGATTAAATGTTAAACATACATGAAATGATTATAACCCTGCTACATAGACCTTAATTTAAAAAAATACTAACATTTTAACGGCCAGCAAATCACATCTACCTACTAATACCACAAACGTCTGTCTGTCTGTAGGTGGAATGCATATCTTGTCAACGGTTCATTGTATCTCACAAGTGGCATATGTGTTATTAAAGGAAAGTGTGGCACCATGTTTGGTGTGATTTGGAAACTTGAAGTGTTCAATATTAATAAAAAAGACCAGGGTTCTGTAGCAGTCAGTGGGGGCGGGGCAGAGTTGAACATGTCTTCTTCTATGTCCTCAGATGATTTTATACACAGATGAAACAGACACTAGCAGGAGTCTGCAGGTGCTGTTCTCTATCACAGCAACAACATTCATATAATCACTTCCTCTTTAGCAAGTTCTCTTCAAAGTAAAAACCCAACGTCCGTTCTGTTGCTGCAATGCATCATATCAAGCCGGTGAACCTGGGTCTGAACATTATGTCAACTGCTTCACAGACCTCTGAGATAGCGGATATGTAATTCATGAAAAAAACATTGATGAAGTAAATCATTCAACTTATATAATGACCACACACAGAAGCAGTAATAAAGAACATTTTGTTTAATTTCATAAAAAACCTTGACCATTAAAATCTTCATTGTAGATAAAGCAGGTAGAATGAAGTTTTTTAACTTCACTCTGCACCATAGTTTATAAAAAGCTCTGCACACAACATTCAGCACACAAACATTCACAACATATAACCAATCATATTTTCTTCATAGGAAAAAATAACTCTACGTTACTGTTTTATCACAACCAAATAACACACGACTTTTGCTCTTTTCAAAATAAAATGCATCAAAAGGAATATTCACACAATATCTCAACAAAGATGTTGAACAGTAAAAGTCCCTTTGCCCTGTTGCTTGCAATATATACCAGTGAGGCATTAAGTAATGATCAAAATGTGTTAAATCAATCAATATTATAAGTTGTTATTGTAAGGATGAAAACACTCACCAGTCATAGCTGTGTCTTCTTTATTGGAGGAAGCGACTTGTGTCACAAGGAGACAAGGAACAAACACTGTGGTTCTCTACACCCCTCCCATCCCTGACCATGTCCTCACTCTCCTGCCTGACTCATATGCTCATTTTGATTTGCTGAAAATTTCAAAAATTTTAAATGTAGCTGGAGTCTCCCATTCTGTTACTGTACAGTTATTTTAGATTTTCAAATTGTTAACATTGATTGCACCACACAGTATATTCAGAACCTGTGTTGGGCTTCAGCCATATTGCTTAGTTTTGCTTAGTACATATTTTTATAGATTTCTTTATAATTTCTATTTCATCTATTTATTTGTATTTATCTTACTCATCCTTAATCTTAACTCTTACTATTTGTACCACGGCCTTGTCATCAGCGCTGACAGTTGTCAGTCATCACTGCTTGGTTGTTCCTGAAACACAGTGGTTCACCCATAAATACATCTTGAGCCACAACATCATCTGATTCATGTCATGAGATGAGCTGTCACACCTCAGGAGAAATCGAAAGAGAAAGCACTAGTTCATGTGAGGCTTAGGATGTAAAAATAAACACTCGACTAACAATACACGGATATTTAAGAGATGCAGTGAAGAATATGATAGAAATATTTACATTAGTTTGATGCTTTTGTAGTTCACGTTAGATGTTCACACAGGTACAAAATTCTTCCACATAGTTTACACAGACAGAAACATCAGATCAGTTGTTTGTGTCAAAGAAGTGAGCCCATGAAGTTGGTTGATGGGGGCAACAGGCAGAAACTGGGCCTTCATCAACATGTGGATTTAAAATATCACAGTCCGCATGATTTGACCTTTTTCATTTGCCAACGATTCCATAACAGGAAGTTCCTGGCACATGACACACATCTATAGTGACACATGAGCGACAAGCATCACATTTCCTGCTATACTTCTCCTATGTTTCAATTTCCACTTGTCACAAGTCACTGCAGCTTTTTCTCATGAGGTGCTGCGGAGGCACACAAACAGGTTTTGAACATATGGTTCTGAGGCGTGTGGGATTGGGAAGAAAAATAAATGAGTGGGCTGAACATCGCATCGGGACATGGTTTATAAGAGATTGAGATGAAGAAAATATGAAGCCATAGCCCTAGTTCAGTTTCACACTTACAGTACAAGAGTTTTCTTTTCTGCCCTTCTCTCAAATCTACCTTACATTTATAAGCTTTTGTTCCCTCTCACACCCACAGAACAGAGTGTTGGGTTATTTGAAATATACTAAGGACACGCTGAACAGGAAGAAAAAGCAGGTGCATCAAATGTGAAATGAAGCAACATGAACACCCTTAGGTCATGATGTTTAGGTGCTTGGTGCAACAGGATGTGAGGAAACACGTTTTTGTTGTTTGCAGTGCATTGCTTCAAAACAGAAAACTAAATGCAGGGGCTTTCAGTTTGTGTAAGAGTCTTCATCCTGCTGTGAGAAAGGAAGCAATAAAAGAAAAATGGTTCAAGCTCATTATGCATTTTGGATCATCCGTCAAAACAAATGCACTTTATTTCCCCCACCACTGGATGGCGCTGTAGTATTGCATCACTTGAAGTTTGGTCTTTGCAAGTGAACTGAAGTGCTTATTGAACCCTTGTAGATGGTTCATGTGTCAGGGGTTTGACTGTGGTACTGTTGCAAAAAAAAAGGTCTACGAATGATACGCGTTAGCAAATAACAACACAAGTCAGTTTAAAACATGTAGTATTATGACCAACATGACACTTCTGTATTGGCATTATAAATAAGTGTGTGTTATTATCACAACAGACTACAGAAAAGCAAATGTGGCAACAAAATAACTGTAAAAATTTATTTGGTGAACCATTTTGCCAGTCTCCTAAGTGGTCCCACCTCGATGAGTACAACTAATGGCAAACAAGAAAAACATGTCTTATTGAAAAGAAAGAAAAAAAACCAAGTTTTAAAATTCGAAACTAACACCTGTCCTTTCACAGAGTCACTTGGGATGCAGTTTGGCCGAGAGAAGGGGGGGACCCTTCGACGAGTTTCACTTGTTCTTTCAGTCCAAGAACTCACTCACCAACTTTAAGGCCTTTTCCACTAAAAATAAAAAAGCTGAAACTGATTTCCTGGATTAAATGACTGCCAAGTTTGTCCCGACATAAATTAAGAGAAGAAAGTGCATCGAGTGTTCAAGTAGGATGTGTAGTTCGAAGAAGGAAGGGTTATAGGACAGCGTGTGTGTGTGTGGGGGGGTAACACTGGCACAGAACTGGTAATTTGCAGTGATTTCAGAGGACAAGGGTGTAGACTGAGAAGGCTGACCACAACTCAACAATCAACGTTAGTCTATACAAGAAGTCCTGCTCGTGCATCGCGTGGTGGATCACAATCACACTGTGCTGCTTGCTGAGAGAACTACTTGCACTACGCATGACAAACGACACATTTGACTTTTTAGCCTGTTGAACAATAATGCAAATAGTCCCCAATTTAACTGATTATTTCTGAAAGTCAATCTAGGCTGTGATCTGGAAGGCTCAGAGAGTTCAAATGGGGACAGGGGGAAATAAGGACATCCATTTTTTCCCCCCGATATGATACGCCCACTCAAGTCAGCCACACCTCAATCTCATCTTTTGGCACGGCGTGGGTCCCTGCCGTTGCTAATGGTAACTGAGGACTTTGGGGCTGTTGGGGGTCCAGAAACTGAAGCCGGTGGTGCTCCGTTGCCGGGTGACCGGCCGTTGGGTCGCCCAGCATTTCCAAATGCGGTGTCACGGGCTGCACCGGGTGGGTTGTTGTTGGTAAACGGTGGCATGGCACCATTTCCTGTGGGTTCAGATACATAAGTAAGTACTTACACAGTTTCAGAGTCCTGGTATTGTGTATACTGTTACACACTGTCATGGCTCACAGGGACACAACTTTTTTTAAATGATTGTGTTATAAGCAACACTTAATACTATGGCGAGGCAAGAAAACTGCTATCAAAATGCTTATTGTGGCACCTGTTTCCTTCAGATTAAAAATATTTACGTATGCACACTAGGGATGTCACGAGAACAAATACTTCGGAACCAAGTCGATGCCAAAATTCTCAAAATGCCACGGTACTCATACCGGAGGAACTGAACAATACCGACCCGCCGCTGCAGGATGGTTGCCACCGCTGCTTCACGATCGGGGCAGACGCACATTGCGTGTCCGGTGTCGTTGTACTGTGCCACATTAGCCTGCCGCATGTCCTCCCTCACCACCAGCCCTGGTAAGAGGTTCCTGGGACCCGTGCAGTGCTTAGGGTTGATTTTGTGTTTGTTTGGTTCGCCCTGGAGTTTATGAGACACGTATTTAAACACATTGAAAGTAGCAAGACGAGACGTAACGTGCACAGCCAGGACATCAGGGTTAAAGTGACCGCAACGATCCAGATTCACGATCCGACATCATCGATTAATAACTGAATAAATGTGTGAATAGCGACAGAGATGAACAGACTCTCTCGTGTGTAGGTGTGTGATGGTACATCGCGTGTTTTCTTAGTTATGCCACCGTTCTGTTTCATAAATGTAGTACTTAAAGGCTATATAGCCAGCGTTGTTTTTGTATGTTCATATATTTATTAAAGTATAAGAGTGCGCGTTGAAGTAAATAGGATTTATTGTTTTTTTTTTTGTCGTGGTATCGAAATGGGGATCGACTCAAGAAGCATGGAAATTTCTTGGCACCGGTATTGACTAACTTTTTGGTGTCGTGACATCCTAATGTGCACACAGAAGCTGTGAATACTTAACATACAGACAATCTTTTATAGAGCTGAACTCTAAACTCTAAAGTCAGAACAAAGAACATGCACAACTCTGAAGTGCAGTGGTTATTTCCATAAAAGGAAAACATACTGACCTGGTGGGGCAGGTGTACCTGAATTCTGATTGGGCGGAGAGTTCCCCCTTTGATTCTGGTCAGGTTTACCCTGTTACAATAGTGGATGAGAGTTATTTTATTACACCTCCTAAGCACTGGTGTTAGACTGCATAGAGAACAAAACACAGAACAGGCCAAACCATGTAAAGTTTTAAAATAGGCCACCAGAAAGCAGTCAGGATATTGTGAGGAGACACAGCCAGTAGTAGGTGAACTCATTGTTTTTGTGGATACTCTGATGCAAGTGTTTGGTGATGTGATGTGACATTGGGTGTGGGTGCAAGTCAACTCACAGACTTGTTCTGCTGGTTCGTTTGGGATAGCAGCTCTGGATTTGGTTCACTGAAGTTGGGCACTTCTGAATACACCATACAGAACCTGGGGCAGACAAAATAACCACATTCCAAAGATGAATCAGGAATTTTGTGTAAGAGGGCTTAAATAAATTGAATATATAATATATTAAAAGACCTGTGATTTGAATACTTGCAGAAAAGGAAAACAAGATAACTTTTCTCTGCAACAGGCTGCTCACTGTGGCTCAAAGCAGGAGACACTAGTTCTTTTATGAAACTGTTTCTGTTTGACTTCTTTAATAACCTTGTGTAACGCTTGATCAGGGGATGTTTGACAACCAGAATTTGAAGTGTAAGAAAAATGTATTAGCTACTCACTCTCCAATCTTCTGCAGATCTCCTCCTCTTCCAGTGTATAAAGTTAGGCACCCTTTCCATATGGATGCATAGCTAACACAGAAATCAAATGTTAAACTCATGCAAACAAAAGGTTACTAATCCTAACTTTTAAAACCAAGTGGATAGAGAACGACCTCTCCACTGCCACACATCTACAGTGGGTGTGCATTGATCTTTCAGTAAATACTAGTTAGTAAGTAAAGTTTATTTGTAAAGCAAACAGTTCTAAAACAATTACACCACACAAATGTTCTAACATAAACACACTCATTACAGAGAGTAACAGAATCCAGTAAAGAACTCAGACAGACCTGGCCCACACAAATCCCTTTAATGCCTTTTAAAACATTTACTTATAACTGGTTCTTGAATGATTCCACAGAATCAGCAAACATTGAAGGAGTAGGTGGGTAATTCCACAACTTGTGTGCTGTTGTCTCAAAAACACAGTCACCACAAGTTTAAAGATCTAAATAGAAAGATTCGAATCAGTCAGATCTGACAGTGTGAGCGGAAGAGAAAGGGTGGAGCAGATCTGTTAGTGAAGGGGCTTGATGGAGCAGTTAGAGGAAGGGTTTGAACGTGAATTCTATAAGAGACAGAAACTTGTCCAACATCAAACTAAAGGGAAAGAGAAAAACCAATGACTGCATGTTTGAGTGCAGAGCTGTTGTACCCTCTGGTGAGCTTGATGATGTCTCCAGGCTGAATGAGGCTGCCGAGTTCATCCCACACAGAGATAGCGATGCTCCCGCTCTTGTCTGCCACCTTGCAGGAGCGCACCTCATGGCCATCTTTCGTTTTGGTTACTCGCCCTGATGGAGCAAAAGAATAGTTAGAAGACACGATCAAGCCGCTCAGATCCTCTCACACAAACGTTGATCCCCTCACACGAAGGTGGAAAAGTCAAAGTGTCAGTGTAATGGAACCGCGGGCCCCTTTAAGAACACAGACACGAGTTGATAGTGAAGGGGACAGTGTGCAAACTCACCTATTTCCAAAACGATGAAAACGATATTCAGATTCTTCGACCCCGGCTTCACATCCTTTATCAAAAACAAGGCCTCGTTTGTGGGGGCTGCCATCGTGAGTCCCGATGAGGAAGAACCACCGCTCGCTCCCTTTCCTGTCACTTCAGCTCAGCAGCAGCAGTACGAGCTGGCTGTCGTCACTGTCATGGGGAGCTGCTAAGTTAGCTTTAGCCCAGCAAGCTAATGAGCCCGTTAGCCAAATGCTAACCAAACTCGACTACTGGGACTGTTGTGCTGCCGTTAACTGTCAATATACACACGGGCCAGCTTCTTAAAAAGTCGATAAAGATCGATCCAGAGACAATTAAAAGCGTGGAAGCGGAAGAAAGAGGCGAAAGATAAACTATCCTCTTCAGAATACTAGCCGGGCTAACAGATGGCTAGCTCGCTACCTACTTTTTCTTTCAGGAGACTCCCTGTGCGTCTTCCCTTCCGCGATTATCGCCATAATGGCAGCCCCTCTCTTCACCGATCACTGTGAGATACCGCGATAATGCAGCTGGCGGACACTCCGCGAGCTCGATCATCAATATTCGAGTTTGATCAAATAGTTTTGACAGGCTGACAAACGGCGAGTCAAATCTGAGATGCTCCTGCTTCAACAAAGACCGTTCTGTTGCACCACAGCCGGAGGAGATGCTTTGTGTTGCGAAATAGTTGGAGATGACAGCTCCTGTATCATTCGATCATTCACACAAACATTAATGTTTTAACCCAGTCCACCGCTTTTCCTTTGTGTGCCTCTTCTTAACATAAGGAGCTGTTAGCTTTTGCTAGCGCCTTCTGGCTAAATGCTTTGTTATACACGAGCAGTGTGTCTACATCGAGCTGTGGCGGCTACAGCGATGTCCCACAAGCCTTGTGTTAAATCCCCTGGTTATTTATGCCTCAACGACACTAAAGCTCAAACACACGAGTTAAAATTGACACAGGATGATCGCCACACGAGCCCCTGCTTCCACAATGCCCCCAAGTCTACGTCAGTGGGCGCTGCCGGTCGCATTTGTATGACTCGGCCAGTTCCATTATCTTCTGTAGAGAAGGGGGGGCCACGCACAGAAGAGTCTATTCGTCTACTTTTATACAATCGAATCGACACAAACCAACAATTACCCGGAGTCTATTTCATGTACGTGTGTGAGCGGACAATAAGCGGAGCCGTGTAGAGAAAAGAAAGAAAGGTGTTGGTTTCTATTGGTTTCGACCGAGTGGATTCCGAACAACGCGAGAACTAGAGAACGTGATATTTAAGTATCGACGATGAAACTATGCGCAGCGTTGCGTCCTTATTATTATTATAATTAATACAATTATCATTGCTCATTAATTCAGTTCTTGATTGATCGAGGCTCGTTGTCACTTTGCGTATCAAGTATTAATCGCGTGTGTTCGGGCATCATGTGCTGGATGGTAAACTGTGTAAGTTTTAAACTTTACGTTGTTCGAACGCAAAATAAGTTTTTTCGGTTTCCGGTGTTTTTTTCTTCTGAATTGAACGGAAACGAAAAAAGAAAAGCGAATCGTCACGAACAGGATTCGAACCTGTGCGGGGAAACCCCATTGGATTTCGAGTCCAACGCCTTAACCTCTCGGCCACCGTGACAATGTGTTCCAATGCGTAGCTGAACCACCTTTATTCTACAACATTAAAATAGCATGTAGTATGTTTGTTTTAGGAATACGAAGGTTCGTGTGTGTGTGTGTGTCAGTGTGTTGGTTGCAGTTAAATTGACTGTGGGAATAGAAAAAATGGCGGGTGGAGTGCAGGATGTTGAGTTCAGACACGAGAGGGAGACAAACACCGTCAAAACATAACAACACACCCCCTCACCTGTTGACACTGAAATAAAACCAGCAACACGCTGCAGAAGCTTTGTGAAGGCACCATGCTGCACATGCTATTACAACCCAGATTAATTAATACTGTTGTAAACAACCTATACATTACACATAGACGGAATATCCGGGAGATCAGATGTGCTTTTACTGTTGTGCTCCACATACAACAAAATAATGTATTTTTCTCTTTGACTGCTGTTCATTATTTTGAGTAAACTTTGTTATTGTGTTTATTTGCTTTTCTATGTGTATTTGCAACCTATGTATATTTGCGACACATGTATAGACAGTTCCAATGTTAAAGAACGACCCCGACAACAACAACAAACATTCATGTATTTCAAAAGCATTGTTTATAATATAACATGTAATATATATTAACCATACAGTTATATTGACAAATATGGTATATAACATACTGCTATAACATGACACGTGAAATGCTTGTCATATGACATGCAATATATGTGGAATATGTTTAATTAAAAGTTTCCAAATAATTGCCATAGTAACCAGACGTTTGTGGAAAGACTGTTGAATTACTTGTATTTTATATAGTAGTAATAGTTATTTCTTTACCGTCATGGTCATATCAGAAATATCTTAGAGTTCACACTATCCAACACACTACTGCAGTGAGATTAATCCTCCACTTACCTGTTACCTAAGTTTTTTAAACCATAGCACGTGACCTACATTTATGAATCAATTTACCACGGCCTAACCCAACAGTGAGCTGAACTTCCTTGGTCAGAAATGTGACTCACAGGGATCACGGCGAGTGACGCACAGGACATAAGCTACCATTATTCAATTCATGCGAAATGTGTGTCCTCTTAACACAAGGACTGCAGATAAACAAACCAAATCTGAATGTTATGAAGTCTTTATTGATGTATACAATACTACACTTTGAAGGGAAATTCCTGCATGTTTATGAGATGGTTGAAACAATTGTAAGCAGATGTACATTTAAACACACGAGTAGCAGGTAATCTTCAAACTTCTTTGGTTTTAAGTGGGTGACTACATTAACAGGCGATAAACTCCACACAAAGATGATAGTAATCTCAACATCACTACCTGTGCTGTAGGTATCTAATGTCAGAGCTTTCCCAGCAAACAGTGGTCCTCACATATAATCCAGATTTAACAGTGATTTGAAGACAAATGAAAAAAAACAGACATTTACACACACATGTCTAGATAATAATTTCTAGATTTTTTTTAATCACAGCAGACAGATATATCACCAAAGTATCATACTTTTGCATGAATAAGCAGAAATACATCAGAGCCAGTCACATTTTAACCTCTGCATTAAACAGAATGTACATGTAAGCCTAATGTTTCATTATTCTAGTTGAGTAATTTATACAAAAGAAGAAGAATTAAAAAGAAAAAAATCAAGTACATTGGTAAGTTTAAACAAGTTAAAAAAATGTTTTCATCTATTAACTTTCTCCTTACATATCCAAATAGAAGACTGGCAAACATTTATAACATGAAGCATCTAAAAGGCTTTGAGTTTATTACTTTGTCAAATAATGTTGGAAATATTTATCTATATCAAATGTACCATATATGTCTTTATCAGACCTCAGTAATATGATTTTCTTGCATAATTTAGATGTAAGAAAATGATTTGCTGTCTAATTCAGAAGGATAATAATGGATGTAGGCTGTATTGGTGTAACTGAAATAGAGGTCCCCCAATCCTGTAGTGCCAGCATTATGGTTCCTATAATTTAATTCTATGGTGTAACACATTGCAGACTCCTCTCTTCCAAGCTGCACATATGCCTAACACAAAGACAAGTTTATCATCCTTTTCCAAACTCCTACAACCTTTACTTCCAGGTGTTGTGCCCAGGAGCCTCTAGAGGGGCACAACACTTGTGACTCCAAAGAGCATCATCTTCTCTGCACATTCTCAGCAAGCAGGCCAAGAGCATGAGAAATGGGCCAATACATAGTCATCTGTCAAACCCAGGGATGCTGTCCTCTGCCTTTACGCACTTCGGTGCCCTTAGCATTTGGATCCTTGGTCCCTGGTATCACTTGTGGAAAACTATTTTTAGGGAGTCATTAGACATTAGAAATCTATAACAAAGGCATGAAAGCGCTAACTATGTGCAACAAGAGTAAGGTCACTTTATAGAAACTTCCAGGTACAACTTCCAAAACCGAGGTTGATTGTGACAAATGTATTTGCTCCTCCTTGAAACTTAAATCCTCTCTTTTTTCAATTTGTATTAAAAGCTTGAGTATGCTCCATAAAGTTATAGCTGCAAAGAATTAATCAGAGCAGAGAAAAAAAACAGGAATGCTTTACTATCACTCTTATCTACAAGAAAACATAGGAATCTATTCCATGAGGAGAGCAACTTCTCATACCAGCTTGTGCAAGGTAAAGGCACTTAAGGAATGTCCGTGTAAATGCAAATGTTTATAAGAGAGGGTTTGTCTTAAACATATGAAGCTGAGCTAACTTTTCCCAATACATGTTTTGGATGCCTGAAAGTAAAATATGACTCGTTATACCCTAGTATCATATAATAACTCAAAAACACTTGACAGTTACATTTACTGTTTAAGGACACATATTCAAGGCACTTAAAGTTCATATTTTATGTTATATAAGCGTTAAATACCTAGAGTAGTGTGCCTCATGTAGAAAATATTTCCTGTACATAATCATACATAGATGCCCTGTAGAAAAGACAAGGGCTATAGAGTTGACATTTCGCACGTCAGTATTAAAACCTATGGGTTATTTGTGCCAGTCATATATTTGTCTCTCAATCTAGAGCAGCTTCTATGCTGCAGTGTTGTCCTTCATCAAAGGGACTCAAATATATATATTTGTATCTATCTAGCGAATATCAAATAAATGTCATTTGCAAGAATATTTTGACTCTTGCAAACTATTCTATGCTATTCCACTCTTCGGCTATATAAGGTTAATTGTTGGTAGTCAATTGGCAATCACCAATTACAATTATATTTTTATGTTCCTCATGCAACTCATTAGGCACTCTAGTTAGATCATCAACATCAGGTTGGACTAACACTTCTAACGATGAAGGGCAGATGATGAGATTCAAGACTGCTGACCTTCACCTGTTAGTGACGCTTTTCAGTACAGGTCCAAAACATTCTGTAAACAATCTCCAGTCCACTACAAAACACCCTGCAACATTTTCACTGAAACTCTTAGAAACTGCCCATTCCAAATCTTGCACAACCTGGCAACGCACCGCCTCAGTAGGCTGTGGGCAGTACCGCCGTTGCTGGAGATCTACTATATTTCACAAGAACCGCAAAGAACAAAGAGACTGTTTGTCAGTGAGGCAGAGGGGTCCAGAGACAGGCACACACTGCAGGAGGATGGTTGGCTCACCACCCTGGCGATGTGCTGCTGCCGAAGGGTTGGGCACCAGTTGATGAGGGTAAGTTATGGTGCATGTTGATTTTCTTGGACAACCAAGCAAAAGACTTTGAGAAGCACTCTTGTACCTGTTTTCCACCAGGGCGATGCTGGTGCAGAGCCAGCCCACAACTGGCTCACATTTCAACAGGTCTGAGATCCGAATGTTAAGAAGTTCACACTCCAGCTGTTGGCAATAATGCACCAATTCATTATTTGCAAATCACAAATAACCCAGAGATGAAGAAGAATGTTATGTAGCGTAAGTTACTTCCATTTCACTGGCTGACATAATGCATCAGATTTTGCTTGCTTTTTAAAGATAAATGTATTCTTAAAGTCATTACATTTTTCATAAGAAGGTTTTAGAAAGCATCTCCCTGTTGCTACTTTCACTCAACTTTTCTCAAAACAGAAGAGAAAGAGATTTGTTGCAGTACAACCTCCCTAACTCAGTGGGTCAAATTTTTGTACCTTTTTTGGTAGAAGTTCCTAAAACCGGTTTTAGAAAAGATAGCGGCACCTTGATGATCTAAATAGGAGATTAGTGATGTACACTGTGAGGTATAATGTTGACTGAGGCGTCAACATTTTTAGATTATGCTGCTGATAATCAAAGGTAATGTAGTAAGAAGGCCCAAGGATGGACTGACATTAGAACCTATGATTATGTTCTGAGTTTTTTTGGGCACTGAGTGCTTACAATGGAGGGATAAATTGTGCCTGATGGGTATCAAATATAGAAACTTGAAGAAAAGAAAAAAATTGAAATTAGAAGTGATGCTCAACAAAACATATTAAGTTGCTTGCTCCACAGCAGCTGTTGCTGTGGGAATCTGGGCATCGGCTGCTGATTCTACAGGGGCTTTGTGCTTCTCTTCTTCTCCCGCCTCATCGTCTTCTTCCTCGCCGACATCTTCATCCTCTTCTGGTACTGCCAGGCCAGCGTGATCACCGTTAATCTCACACTCAATGCTCGGGGCTTTGCCATTGATAGCCAGCTCTGCCTTCATGCTGTCTGGGGTGGAAGGACTCAGTGTTTCCTGCAACACCTCCACAACACCTTCACAGGTATGAATCTCCGCCAAGGGAATGTCACCATCCAAGTTTCCGAGAGGTGGAATCTCCACATGGTCTTCTTCCCCAGGTGAACCTATGCTTTGTGTGGGGGTCTCCCCATCCCTGACCTTCTTTATATTGAAGGTCATCGGAGACACCTTAAATGAGGAGGACTTGGCAGTTGGGCTCTTGGGTTGGTTGGGGGTGAGACTCTTCTTGATTTTCTCACGCTTCTCTGGGGGCACAATCTTGGTGGTGATCTGATTCATCTTCTTCTCAAAGCTCTGGCGCGAAAAGGCCTTCTTGAGGCTATCAACTTTCTTCAGGCTGGAGCGCTTGAATTTGTCAGCTCTTCTCTCAAATGTGCGGGAAGTGCCCACACCCATTTCACCATCCCCTTCCAGCATATCATCCTCCTCCTGGAGTGTTCTGAGATCATCATCGTCATCCGAGGACAGGCTAATGGTCTGGAGACCCTCAACTTGGGCACTGCTGCATTCAACAGAGCCTGCGATAGATGGAGTAATCTGGGTGGATTCTGCATCATACTGGCTTGGTTGTGGGGTCTTGAGGGAGTCCTTAACAAACACAGTGGAGGGGATCTCATTGTCTTCCTAAGAAAAGGAAGGAGAGAAAAATATGGTTAAAAGGATGGTCATTGGGATCAGTTTTAAAAGCATCAACAAGGTTTTAGTTTAATAGAAAATATAAGGAATTATAATTTGCTGTAAATTGCCAAAAAAAACTTGGTGACATCCTAAATGAGAATACAGATGAATTCCAGCACATGATCTCCATCTTTGTTTGAGTTAGCTATGGTCAGGGTTAAACCTAAGGCACCTTTTCAAGGACCAGAGCCTCCCGAGGAATTCTTGACAATGCTGCTTGAAGTGTACATCCAAACACATTCCCCATAAACATGTTACTTTATACTTCTGGCCCTTTGGCCCTTGCACACGGATGTCTGCCTTTAATACATTCTGACATGTTGGTCTGTCTGCTGAGGACGGAGGAAACCAGTTTCTGCATGGCTCCTCGGTTTTCTCCTCAAATGTGTGAGGAATTCCATCTGTTTCTCTGTAGGAGTCACACACCTCTCTACGTTTTCAATTTTATCTCTCTCTGCTCTGTTTTACCTCAAAATATGCCAGTATCAATCACCAGTGCAGGCCCCACCCATCCTCATACATGTTGGGATTAAATATATATTATTACTAGCTGTATCTAAGTACTATACATTTAAGTCGGCATTACACAATTAATACCAGATGAAGCATATGCATGTATGTCACTTTCATCTCCGTGATTCTCCCTTTAGACTTGAGACAAACAAATGTTTTATATGATGTGGTACTTTTAAAGACACGTGAACAACAAAATGCACAGTGATTCGCTGAAATTCATGTTGATAGAGCAAAATGCATTGTGGGAAATGTATTTTGTTTTTTTTGCCAAAAACAGTGACAAAAAGCTGTTCAACAAGAAGATTCAGACACAAACTTCAATGTGGTTACTGTGTCACTAGCCAATGCTAAATCGAGAGACAGAGGAGGGGTGGGTTAAGATTGACCCGTCTCAATGCCATTACCTTTCGCGAACCTAAAATATAGACACATATGCTTTTTTATTTCCATCCTTATCCAGTGGTTAAATTAAATGGAATAACTTAAGCCAAAGGTTTAAGGATTCTTAAACCTTTGGCATTCTTTGGACAATCTCCTGGTTGTTTTCAAACATGCCTTAGGTTTTACATTCTTTTCATTATAGAGGTGCTGTAAGTCACAGGATGCCATTAGTTGTTGAGGGACTGTGCAATGCATTTTTTTTAGGGGTGTCATTAACACATACTTAAGGACTGGACCAACCAGATGCTCGAGAAGACTCCTGCCTTCTTGTCCGTCACCAATGCTGCGAAAAACTAAAGTAGCATGGTGCATGCATCTGTCAGGCAAAGTAAACTTATGCTAAGTGAAGCCAATTTTGACACACGAACAGTGGTATGAAAGCTATGTCACTGTGACTGTGATTGTTGCTGCACAAAACCAAAATGTAAACGCAAATAGTCCCGCAGTGATTTTTTAAGTTCACTCTATATAGTTATAGTGTTGAACAGAAAATCTTGTTCCACACAGACAATTTTGTTCCATTTCTTTCCCTGATCCGCTGGCAATTGAAAAATAATCCGTTTTTTGTACAACTGTAAATGAACTGTTCTTTAGAAGTGGAAATCTGTCTTGCTTCTACCATCTTGCAGACCCCTGATGCATCTTGCCTTGATCTTAGTCATGCAGGCATGATTCACAGTTCAGGTGTGTGCCAAGCATGTGTGGTATCTCAGTCAGTGCTAATAAATCTGTCAGCATGTTCTTAAAGGCACAGCATCAGAGCAGGGCAAGGAACAGAATATAAAGAATAATATATAGTAGAGGAGGTTTGATAAATCAAGATTGATCAATTATATACACTGGTGTTCTTATGATGTCAATTCCAAGCAACCTTATATCACCTTTCTATGCAGCACATTCCACAAACTGCTTCTTTGTGTATGTTGTTTCTTTTTTTACACTATAATCATACCTATGTTCATCCTCAAAAAGCTGGGAGCCATGAAGCACCTTGGGTTTGTAACTCGAAATCCAAAAAGACAAAGGTAGCACCTTGGGGAACAGGTCTGGTTACTAACCCCTCTCATTTGGTTTAACTGTAATCCTTCCTCTTCAGTTTTGTTCTCCGTGTCTCCCTCCTCTCATGTCTGAGTGAGCACTGTCTGAATGCCCTATTTTGCGTTTGGTCTAACACTGCACCACGCCCTAGAAAGACAGAACGTGTTTGTGCAAACTCAAATCTGAAATTCAGGCGCTGCGTGACTGATAGCTCTTCTATAAAACATGTAAGAACTACCAGAAAGCTTGCCTCTATGGTCAGATATATTCCTCCAGAGATTATACTTATCTCCCTTCACTGAGTACACATTTAAGATAGAGTTAATCAACATGAAGGGTGAGATAGCTTGAGGTTTAAGCAACCACCTAAATTTGACCAGTCATGATTACAAAATCACAGCCTTACATGGCCTCTGCTGACCCTCAGCGGACTATTCCCTGATGATAAGTTGTTCAAAAGTTTTCCCTGCTTGGCAATGCTAAATTTTTCCCGAAGATCCAGTATTCACACCTCTGCTCCAGTCCGGGCACGTCATGAGACTTTCTGATTTGGCTCAAACATGTTTGATATAATCTGTGTGGCTACAGGAGTATGTGGGAGGCAGGGAAAAAAACTCAAACACCTTTGAATGTGAATAGAGCTCTCCTGGTAAACACTGTACTAGACCTGCTGCAATAACACTTTAATTAAACTTCAAGAGCAAGAGTGTGCTAGGTTTTGTCACCTTATTTTTTGTCTGAAAGGTGAATGCAGCCACATTTATGTCTTTTGTTTCTCTGCCTTGACTTCATGCAGCTTTGCTCTTTTTTCTGCATCTTGTCTTTGGTCTTACTTGTGAACATGCTGGTTTCGTGTTTGGTTGCCCAATTAGTAAGAAAGCGTGAAGTGAGTTTGCCCTCAGTTTAACTCCCACAAATCTTTGCAAGTAAGCTACAGCAAACAAAATCTTCCTAAATACCATTTGACCCAGGTCTGTTGTGTTTGTGTGTGTGT